ACTTCCCTATTTTCATTTTTCTTTGTATTTTTGTACTTTATATTTTTATAAACTAATAAAATTTGTGGCAAAACTAAGCTTATTATTGTCTGAATAAACCGTATTTTAGTGATGTAAACATAATTAAAGTCTAACATGACTGAAGTGGTTTATGAATGTGCAAACAAATATGTATAACATAATAGATAAGGAAACAATGTATTTTTAAAGGATAATAAAAGTAAATATTACTTTAATTTCTCCAAAATTTCTATTAAAAATGAATTTCCCCCGCTGCTTGGAGCTGCTAAATAACAGCTAATCATCTGATGAAGCATATACAATATATTGTTACATATTTTTTGTAAGATTTCAGTAATATACAGGTAGTCCTCGATTTACAACCACAATTGAGCCCAAAATTTCTGTTGCTAAGCAAAACATTTGTTAAGTGAATTTTGTCTGACTTTTCTTGCCACAGTTGTTAAGTGAATCACTGCAGTTGTTAAGTCAGTAACACAGTGGTTAAGTCAATTTGGCTCCCCCATTGATTTTGCTTATATGAAGATCGCAAAAATTGACTGCATGACCCTGGGACACTGGAACCATCGTAAATATGAGTTAGTTGCCCAGCATCTGAATTTTGATTACGTCACCATGGGGATGTTGCAAAGGTTGTAAATGTGAGAAACTGTCATAACTCACTTTTTTCAGTGCCGTTGTAACTTTGGTCACTAAAAGAACAGTTGTAAGTCAGGGACTACCTGTATTAACAATTTACTCTTTTGTTAATATAGCATTGTTTTGCATGTTTAACCTTATGTAACTGGTTTTGTTTTTTTTAAAAAAAGCACCTCTCTTATTTCTTTGATTTTTCAAAAAATGATGTGATTGCATTTGTATCCAATCCAAAGAAAAAGAAGGATCCACTATTCTTTCAGCTTACAGTTGAACAGAATAGCTTTATAATAGTTCCTGACCAGAATTGTGCACATTTGTGAAATACAGCTTATAGATTTCATATAGAAATCCATAAAATTTCTAATTATATTAGAAAAAAATAGAATGTATGAAAAAATACTAACACGCTAAAAATTAAATATTTAAGACTAAATCACTAAATTGTAAAAATATTTTACCATGTTATCAAACAACCATACTCAGAGTAATATAAAATAATATAGGATAAAACAAAATAACAAATACTCGAATACAATTGCCAGATTTCATATTTTGTTTGTGATCAGATTGAATAATAGTTATTGTGTCCCAATCATTCAGTATCCAATTGAATTAAATAATAATCCAATTGAAACAACATTTGGCAACTTTAAAGGTAGATTACTATTACAATTTGCAAGAAGAAATTAAATGTAGGATGTATTCTACTGGGGAACGTGCTTAGAAATAAAGTAAAATGCAAGTGATAAATTTCTTCATAAAATTAGTAACACAGCAATACATGGCCCATAGTTTCAGTTATTTTCGAATGACAGGACAGACCTTCCCTCTGAGATGAATACATTATCTTCCAGGAAGGATGAAGACATGCTAAAATATGCTAGGGCAAAGACCCTACAATATTTTGCAGTAGCAAGATTGTTTTAATATTTAGCCAGGGCAAAAGGTTTATTTTAGTCCCCAGTTTTAAAAAATAAAGTTAAAAAAAGGAAGTTCAAAGCATTATCTCTGTGCAAATCAATTATTTGCTGTTTGGCAATTTCTTTAGCTTTGGAAAAAGCCAAAGAATGTAAAGCTGTTATAGATAAGCCAATATTTTGTAATTTTATCTCCAAGGTGGTCTTCCAAGTTGAGTAAAAATTATCTAATAGCGTCAGTAGGTCAGGGCCCTCAGGGAAGAATGTTAGTTTAAGCCAAAGATTGATTTTACTTATTCAAGCTCAGGCTATGATTGAATTGAGACCTACTTTCAATCAAAAGGTGGTACTGGGACAACCAAAGGATCCTAAAGATCTTCAACATCCTAGATCAAACTCCAAGAGGGAAAAGTTCTTGGGGATAGAGGCCCACATTCTGCCTTGCCTTGAAACTTTCTAATTATAGAGGGGATATAAAAGCCACCATTTTTGAAAACTGAACCTGAGAATGAAAGCTACACACTTCAGGGTGAACTTCATAGCATGCATAATCTATGCCTCACTCCCCTCCAATCAGAATGCCTATAAAACAGCATCTAGGAATCCAAAGTTTTTAGCTTTTAGTATTTCATATTCATTTATCCATGAGCCATATTTTATTAAGTGCTACTGTTTTAGAGAAGACTTGGTCTTTAGTTAATTTAGAATGAACTTTTCTTCAGCACCATAGAAACCAAAAGATCTGGAGATCTTTTCTAAGTGCCATAAATGAGATTGGAAGAATGGCTGCCTCATCTGCATATAACAAAATAGAATTCTATTATGGCAAGATGTTTATGACCTACTTAACTTAAATTATAATCATGTAATAATTTGTTGTACTGCTTTCCAATTTTTTTATAAAAAAATAGTTGAATAGAATATAATTTTAGAAAATTCAAGGGTCTATAGACTAATAAATATTCAGTTTGTTATATTTTATTTTTAAAAATGTTATATTAGATAAAAAAATAACAGTTTATTTCCAGATTGTTGTACCGATTCATTTGATTGATGTCTATTTAATGACATATCAGATTAATTTCCATTACAATTCTTTTATTTCAATTTTTCTAAGAAGCCAGCATGGTTTTTCTTGTATACCAGTGCTACATGTTGTAAACTGTGGAAAGATATACAAGAGTTCTGCCTCAGTTCTAATGATTTTATATGTGTAATTATCAAACTCTAGGATCAGTTTCTTGTAGCATTTCAGGCTGTAAGTCTTAATTACCAAAATAACTGTGCCTGATTTAACTAATGAAAAACTAAAGACAAATGTACATTAGAACAATTGTATTGCTGTGTAGACTCTGTTTTCCATCCCATAACATTTAAATTGACCTCGCATTTGACCCAAGGGCCCAGGACACATATGTGAATTCTGAGGCTTTCAGCAGAAAATGCTTGCAGTGGGGAAAAAGTATCTTTTCTAAAATCAGGCTATTAAACTGAGTATTTCCTTACACTGATTTCTGTTTTTGAGTGTTATTCCATGTCATATTGGAGTTGTTTCTTGCAGGGATCATCCTAGTGCCATGATCACTCTCACAGCCATACACATTGGGAAATGCTTGGAGTAAAGTGCACTTGAAATATCTCTTTTTATATAGTTAAAGAAGCCATGTCCTGCTTCAGGCATCCTTGGTTGTTTCAGAGGCTGCTATTGAAACTGCTGTATAGACATGGGGGGAAAAACAGGTGCTTGCTTTACTAATTTTGGCTTTGCTCAATTTCTCAACTACTCCATTGCAGGAACATCCAGAGTTACTTCCTGAATTTTCTATAGGTATAGCTATACCAATTGTAATCCCAGGGCTTTTATTATTGTGGAAGTTTTTTTAATGCTGGTGAGAATCAGAAGACATCAATTCACAGCTAGCATACATCTGCATTAGTATTTTCTATTGCCGTCTGTTGGTTCTAGGAGGAACTCTTAAGTTTCTTTAGTGTCACAGAATTTAAGTCTTACAGAATTGTGTTGATTTCTCTTTTTCCGCTTGCTATAACATGTATGAAATAGTTTTCCGAAAAGAAATTTCAAGTTTTCCTCAAAGTGTTCTTTTTAAATAAGATTAGTTTTATACTAAATTGTCACCCAATTGCCATTTAATCTGTTTGGTTCAACACATACTCTTTTAAAAATCTGGATTCTATTTAGATCTAAAATAGATAGTGATCCTTGAATCTTAAAAAAAAGTCAGCCCTTTTAATTGTATGATCTGATTTTAGAACTGGAATAAATATCTTTACTGTTTTGTTAAGCTCATTAAGTGACATTGAAGACTTAAGCTGTTCCACAGCTGCTGAACATCTTAGATTTATAAACATTAGAAGCTTTTGCTTATCTACAAGAAATGTATATGGCTTAAAATGTGTAATGAACCAATTCTATATTTAAACCATCTGAAGTAGAGGTCCATAAATTCCATGTATCTTTACAAATTGTATGTTAATTTATTTTATTGATGTAAGAGAAGAATGGCATCCATAGGTTGATCATTTTTTATTCGCTTCGGTGCATAATTTCTGAAACATGAAGAGTTGTAGTATGTTGATAGTATGGTAAAATTGTTATAAAGTCAGCTTTTTTTTTTTAATCTGCGTCAAAGCCTTACAGATAATATGTCCATGTTAGCATGACTTTTTGCTATGTTAACTTTCTGCATTAATTTTATGATGTATGATCTACTAAATGCCTCAGATTGCTGACAGCAGTCATGATTGGAAAAAATGAGATTAATAAATGATGGCTGAATAAATTCATAGAATCTACCATTCTTAAACTATTTGGCTTTTTTATAACAGTTTTAACAGTTGGGCTAAAAATCAAGATTACTATTATTACTGTTTCATGAAATGTCTATGTTTAATAAGGATAGTTTTGAAGTAGTGAAACTGACATAATTACTTTAAGGGAAACAATCCTAACATTCTGAATATGCCATAATTTCATACAAACCTGTATTTAAAATATTTTTATCCTACTACTTCCGTAAACATTGATTAAATCTTCCTGTTTGTTGGAACATTTTGGGAGCTTGGTTCATTATTTTTAAATCTTTATTTTTAAAGTACCAGCTGCTCCATTTCTCCACATTTATTGGATTGTATGTTTCAAACTAAAATTTTAAGTTTTACACAAATATTTAGTCTTTTGTTTAAAAAAAATGAAAAGGAGATAATTTTTCTCTGCCAGGCAATGTCCCAAGTTTATTATAGTGTGATACCTAGACTATTTCCCATCCTCAGTGAAGTCCACTAATATAGGCTGGAAAATATTTCCTGTTTTTTCTTCAGAGGCCGAAGTTTGGGGTAACGTACATCTGAATAGCTCTCTTAACTTCAGCATCGTTTTTTATTACAGCTTTTTCTTTCTTTCAGTTTTTTGGAACTCTTTTGTCACCTTTGAGCTTCTTGATGGAGAAGATTGAACGCCTCATGCCTTCTGGTCTCTGGCATCAGCTGACCCAAATCTGAACACATCTCAGTTCACATGAACTTTAACATCAGCGCCTCTTGATTACAAAAGCATTGGCAACTAAGAGTGTGAAGGAAGCCTTACTTAGCTTTGTTTTACAGGCTGTTAAACATTTTCTGTACTCCTTCTTAAGCCTAAAATATTGTAGATTTAAAATCCACAATTCAATGTCTGGGTGGGTGGGGAGAGGATTGTTGTACTTAAGGCTACTGCTTTCTCTCTCAGAAATTCCAGAAAGCAATAAATCTGATAGATCCTATGTTGAAATTTCCTTCTGAAGTGGAGATATGCTTACTTATGTTTATTAGCCAAGAATCTAACCCACAGGGCTTGTGTTACTGACCACTTGCCAAGATGCACGGCCCAGTAGGGGGCCCACTGCCAGTACATCAAGTCTCCTGCTTCTTTCTGTTGCTGCATGTTCACTTGTTTACTCCTAAGGAAGGGAGCAGTTAACAGAAAAACAAGAAGGAACCATAGCCTGCACTTGCTTTACTCTTTCTCTCCTGATCTAAGGCAGCAAGATGAAGAAAAGGGACCAAGAAGTACCATAGAGATGCGTTTCTAATGCTAGTCTTGAAAGCAAGAGATAATTCTGCTGAAACTTGGTTCTGAACCATTCTTAATTATGAGGATCTTCCAACTGGTCACCATATATTGTGTTTTTTGAGGATTATCTGAATTACAGTTAACTTGGATTTATTTAATTAAAATTAACAATAAAATCACAAAGGGAATAATACACACACACACACACACACACACACATATCATGCCTAGGCCACACACAAATTGAAGCCAAGTTGTATAATTCCTTGCACAAGGCCATTAGTATTGGGGCCATCAATGTCTCAGGAATATGCTGTTGCACAGGGCATGCGCAGTGAGTGACATAGAGAGCATGCCCCTATGATAGTTCTATAAGTTAAGAAAGAATATAAATTATACTTTGGACAGGATCATTTATTATGTATAAGTAAATGCATAGCCTGTGAAGCCTAGTCATTTTATTAAAAGTTTAATTAGTTGCTATGTGTCCATCTCCTCTCCCATTTTCACTGGCCTAAGCAAGTAGCAGTTCTTAGCCAACCATTGCCCATTACAAAAGCTAAGCAGGATTGGCCCTGGCTTACATTTGGATGAAAGACTACCTGGCAATTCTGAAACTGTTGGCCAGATTAGGAAGTTTTTAAAAATCCTGAAAGAAAACAATGTCAAACCATTTCTATACAGTGATCCGTAAAAGTTTATGAACCCTTTTAAATTTTCAATATTTCTCTATAAATATGACCTAAAATATGATCTGTCATCCACACAGTTGTTTAGAACGATATAAAGTGAAAACCAATTAAATGAGTCTAAAACATAACTTGTTCATTTATTTGCTGAGGAAAGGATACAAAGCTACATATTTGTCACAAAATGTATATGAACTTTGCTTTCAGTAATTGCTAATGTTTTGGAGTGGCCAACTTAAAAAGTCCTGACCTTAATCCTAAAGAAATGTTGTGGAAGGACTTGAAGTAAGCAGTTCATGTGGCGAAGTCCATCCCTTAGTTTGAAGATACTCTGTAAAGAAGAATGCATTAAAATTTCTTCCACACAAATCTATAGGGCTGATCAGTTACTGAAAATGTTTAGTTGCAGTTATTGCTGCCCAGTGACTGAAAGCAAAGATTCACATACTTGCCACACACAAATATGTAGCTTTGGATCATTTTTTCTCAATAAAGCAATGAACAAATGTTTTTAATTCATTTATTTAATTGCACTGTTTATCCAGAAATACTGAAAATTCAAAAGAGTTTGCAAACATTTAAACACTAACTCTGCCAAGATAACTGCTTGACTCAAGGGTGTTTTTACTTTTTTATTGTTCATCAAGCAATAAATCAGAATTTAATAAGTGGATTAGTCACTTGCACTTGTTTCTTAAATTGCTCAACCATTTGTAGAGCTTGATGGAGACTGATACCTTAGGAGGAGTTTCTCCTAACATCAATAGACAAAATTGATTTTTATCCTTGACCTTTGACTATCCTGAGTCATTTATAAAGCTCAGTTTATCCCTTCCCCTTTCTCCCATCTTCTGTCTTTGTTTTGAACAGCAACTATATGAAGGAAAGTGGGAGAACTAAATGCTTGAGTAATAGCATTGTAGTATTGGATGACAGGTGTATTTCTCAACTGCTGTTAGACATTATTAAAGCATGGCTAGTTCAGATGTGTAATCACAGCATACAAGGATAGAAGAAATACAAGGCATACATACACAGCATATAAGGATAGAAGAAGTTTATTGCAAAAACACTGACGTCTACACAAAATGACTGCTCTTTCTGAAGCAAAGTTATATTTCGTAGATGTTTTGAAGATCTATGAATTCTCTTACAGTATTTTCCTTTGCTGTATTTCATAAATGTATATTGCAAGGCAGATAGCTTGTTATCTACAAGTCTATGATATGTTCTTGATTATTAGGGATCATTACTACTTGATAAATATGTCACTTACTACTCTATCTGTAGTGGTGTTTGCATTCATTTGTGACAAGACAAGAAAGAGGAAACAGACTGCTGGATCTATGCAGCAACTAGGAGGCAAAACTCAAATGTTATCTGCCAAGTGAGCATAAGCCACAGGGGTAGTTTCTCACGGTGGTATCTCTGTGATGATTAATGGTCATGCTGTATTCATCCAATTTCACTTTGCCATCCACAGAGGGCCGTAAGGTAAGCAGCATAATGCTTTTTAAAATTGAATCTTTTCCAACTTATGTGTGGGGTTATAAATGAAGCAGAGTCTCCTGTGCATCACTCCCTAAGGCTGGTTTCTCTCACTGTCTTCTCTTTGACATGAGCATATTAGAGTGGGATAAGCTTGCAAACAGGGCTGGCAATGTTCTGCAATGTCTGTTGCTATCAATAATTCTTACTCTGTCCTACTTTCATAACACAGAGAAACACATTTCATCTACTAAAATATTTCCGTGTGCTGTGCCTTCAGTTACTCATGCCACTTCATATACCTATGGCATTACCTCTAATTGCAGGTTTACTTAACACAGGTGTAAAATTCATGTTATATTCTCCACTGATTATATGGAGTCTATTTGCTCCATGTTGGATATCTTGCTTTAATTTTGCGCTCCTTGTTTTTATGTGTTAAATTTATCCTAAATTTTACTACCCTGAAGTTATAGTGATCATGGTAGTTACTAGTTGTATGAGCACTCTCGCTGTTATTTACTTATATACTGCTTGTTTTTTCTCTCTCTTTGCTAATTGAGTTGCCAGAAGAACAGCTAGATTACTGTTATCAGACTCCTGAATGAATAGTTTGTAGAGTTTAAAATTAAGTGTAGGTCCATAGATTGCCAAATGTGATATGGAGGTAAAATAATGTTTTTAAATTCTCTTCAAGAAGAAAAAATGGAAAGAGACCTGTAAATATGCACAATTTATGTATACCTTCAAGGAAAGGAGGAATTGCAATAGGTACCACACCATGTTTCTAACTGTTAGTAGACAAGATATTGTATCCTGTACTGCCTGGTAGCTTCCAGTCACGAAGAGCAACACCAAGTACATAACATTATTATAGACTGGTTTTCAAGTGATGAAGATAAAATATTTCAGTTGCTAGATCTTCCTAAGGAAGGTTTGAACTTCCTCAAAGAAACATTTTATACAGATCAGTGGGTTAAATTGCTCTCCTAGGTAATTAAAAGATAATTGCATTGTACTTCTCATATTCAAGTACATGACTTGTAGTAGTTGTTGACTTACAACTGTTCATTTAGTGACCATTCAAAGTTACAATGGCACTGAAAAAAGTGACTTATGACTGTTTTTCACACTTATGACCTTTGCAGTATCCCTATGGTGAAGTGTTCAAAATTCGGATGCTTGGCAACTGACTCATATTTATGAGGATTGCAATGTCATAGGGTCATGTGATCTCCTTCTGTAACCTGATAAGCAAAGTCAATGGGAAAGCCAGATTCACTTAACAAGTGTATTACTGATTTAACAACTGCAGCGATTCACTTAACAACTGTAGCAAGAAAGATTGTAAAATGGGGCAAAATTCACTTAACAAATGTCTCATTTAGCCACAAAACTTTGGGCTCCATCATGGTCATAAGTCGAGGACTACCTGTATTATTAAAATTGTACATCCTGTCAGTTCACTTAATTAAGCTTTCAACTCTTGAATAGAAAACTAATCTAAAACCAAAATATATAGATTGCAAAGTCACAATGACAAGTGCCCCATAAACTTCCTGAGCATCTCTGAATGCTTCTAGTATAGAAGAGCTCATCATCTTAAGTAATTGGCCCTACTGTCAAATTCCTCTAATTATTCCTCAAATACCTTTAAGCAACTTTTCTTGAATTCAGTTGAAATGCAATTTTATCTTGAGGTCATATGAGTATAAGGAACTGGTGAGGCCCAGTTCTTGAAGGGTGTTTTCATATTACCCCAGTCAACTCATCTAAGTTTATTTAAGGTCATAGAATTTATATTTTTCTGGCCTAAGAAAACTAATGAAATGATAGGATTGAATCCTGAAAAATCTTAAAGCAGCTTCTGGGATCATAAATAATGAAATCAAAATGTCATAAAATGTAGGACACCAGAGAAGAGAAAGAGCCTTATTAGCTTGAATCTGGCAAATGCTTGTCAGATTGTGGATTTATTCCACATAGTCAAATCACAGAGGTTCTATAAGGATTAAGGTGATGCAAATACAAGCCAAACTGACAGTCACAACTGTAATGCATCTTAGTTGAATGTTCATTGAGAAGCTTGGCATCTTACAACTAGGGCTTTGCAAAGCTTTGATTGAATCCCCCTTTAAACTGAATTTTAAGACACTGAATAAGAATCTAAATGTGCTGCCCAGATTCACTGGGTATTCATCGGTTAAGTGGACTTGCTAGGTTTGCAGAATGTAAAATATTCAAATGAACAAAGCTGAGAGGGTGATGGGCACTGAGAGAGGCAGTGGGCTCTGAGATATTGGCACAAACAATGACTCAAATAACTGGCTAACGACTTAATCACACCTGCAAATCCTCTTTGCCAGAACAGTGAGTGCTACTCAACTTCACACTTTCACTAGAATGTATTCATGCAGATTTGCTGGACGGGAAAAAAATATATTCAGATTTATTCTCCTATTTATGTTTGTTGGAGTTTTTATCGCTTCCCAAATCTATAATCCTTAAATCTCACATCTATTTATATGTCCTGTATAGTCCCTGT